TCAAGAAAAATCTCAAAACTCAAAAGATATTTGTGTTTTCAAAAAATGCTCGGGAATGAAAAAAATGTTTGGTTTTTTGAAACATGTTCTTGTTCTCTAAACATTGTTCAAAACGTTTAAAAATGTTTCCATTTTCAAAAAAAAAATCAAATCTCAAAAGATGTTTGTGTTTTCCAAAAATGCTCGGGAATGAAAAAAATGTTTGGTTTTTTGAAATCACAATTTCAAAAAAGTTTGAGTTTTTATTAAAGTATTCAAAATTTCAAAAAATATTTGTGTTTTTATATTTTTCTAGAAATTATAAAAATGTATGAGAATTTCAAAGAATGTTCTTGTTTTCTGAAAAGTGTTTAGAATGTTAAAAATGCTAATTATTTCAGAACTTAGAAGATGTTTGGGAATTTCAAAAAGTTCACACTTTCGGAAAATTGTTAGAATTTTGAAGGTTTTCCCATCAACATGTTTCTTCTCTAAATTCCTTAAATGTTCATGTTTTTCCGAAAATGTTCAGGATTTCCAAAAATTGTTTTTGTCAAAAAGGATAGTTTAAAAAAATGATTTTTCAATGTTGAGTTGTTCAAACAACTTTCGTATTTCTAAAAATTATTCAATTTTCAAAAATTCACAATTATCAGGAAAATTTGAAAAAATCTAAAAACTACCCGGATTATGCGTTGTATAGACTGCTTAAAGTGATGCGCTCATTGTTAGTCACCAACGCTTCTCAGGTCGACTAGTTAGCAACTCTTCTTTGTGAGTTACAGGTCCGAAGTTCGAATCCTTGGGAGGTGGTGCTTTGTTCTCTTTAGATACTAGATCGTTGTCGGGTGCGAACGCTACTGCGACCACGTCCATGGGCCAGCCCAATCGGAGTACGTACGGCTTATACGTTCTAGCGGGCGACTCACCATACATACAAAAATGGGTATAAATTGTCAAAAGTCCATATTGTCCTTTATACATTTAGTGAAGGTGTTGTACCGAAGCGGGGCTCTTTTAATTAAAGTCAGAAGACAACTATCACATATTTACTTCGCAAATCGACGTGAACTGAGAGTTGTGCAAAGAAGTTGAGGACATCTTAAATGGTCATCATCATACTAGAATTACCCACCGGGGTGTTAATCAAACACCACTTTGGCCTTTGGGTGTCATCCTAATCATGCAGAGTCAACGGCCAGAAGCAAGAAAATAATCAAGAGGGAGATTCTCGGTTGGGCACATCTATCAACAACATTCTCGCTGCTTCTTCTTCTTCCATTGCCAATTCCTACTTTGTAGGATGTAAACTATGAATATATTTTATAGCATTTTTCCTTTTGTTAAGAGTATGAAATTTTGTACCAAGGCAAAAGTTGCCCCTGTGGAACGCTAAGAGGAGAACATAAGTTATAACAATAGTTCTCCCCATTTTGTTCTTAATTGTGTTAAAGCACTCATAGACCGTCAATACATTGTCCATAATGAGCCTACTTGGGACCAAAGCACTTTGAGCATGGTTGATTATCCTTGGGTAGAATCAACTTCGAATGTGTCGCCACCATCTTTGATATAACTTTATATACTACACTACATGGACTAATCGGCCTAAGTTGGGTGACCTTCTTTGGGGACTTCACATTTGGGATCATAACAATTGTTGTGTCGTGTTAGTGCAGTCTAGTGCCCCTTTAGTGTTTTGAAGATTGTTGGACAAAACAATTGAGGAACTAATGTGTTTGCTTGTGAGTAAAATAGTCCCTGAAGTATTGAGGAGTTTGCTATAAACTCATGCGATGATTTTCTGTGCAGCAGAGAAGAATGGTTGCTATCTAGGAGATTGCGTGTCGGAGACGACCCCCAAAATTTGTTATGCTGAAGCATTTGCTACGGTGTGTTGTTCAAGAAACAAGTATCTGCAGCGAAGAAGGATGAAGACCGTGTGAAGATGTTGTACTTTTTCATAGTTTTATTTTCTTCGTTTGAATCATAGGGCAACTATAGTACTAAGGGGGGTTCAAGTGCGTTGAGACTTTTTTCTGGGCTGATGCTTAATTGAAGCCCTATGGGTGAGAGAAATCTCATATTGTGTTGTGTTTTTTACTTTTACTCGTAAGACATAGACGATGTTCTTTTGTGCTTCGTGAGGAATTCACAAAAGTGAGTCAACTTTACTTGTTACTCAAGTAAAATTGACACATGAGTTTGAAATCCGACAGTTGGATACGTGTCGTTTGACCGTTGCATGGCCGCAGACCCCTATTGGTCATTTCACCCTCGAGATTGCTCCTGCTATAAGTAGTCGCTGCCTCCCAACCATTGTTGCTTGGCTGCTCCATCTAATTTGAGTGAGATTGTTGAGCAATCCTTCTCCTCTGAGAGATTTCACCGAGAGAAAAACCCAGAGGCAAAGCTTAGACTGTGGTTGAGCATCACGTAGATCTAAGTTGAGATTGCTTGTGCCTATTACTATTGATAACTACAAACTCTCTAGACGGTTAGGCGTCAGTCTAGAGCAACCACATGTTATTATGGTTTGTCAAAGACAAAGTCCGTGAAGGTTAGGATATTGCCTTGAAGTATCCACCCCAAGTGGATTGACTTAAGTTGATGAACTTGCGGTCAAGGAGAATAAGATGGAGATTCCTCCAACCAAACATAGCTCTTTTTGCAGAAGAGTGAACTGCTTGAACAAATAACTTGTCGCCATCGAGCAACACTGTTTCTTTCTTTTTACCGCATTTCCTTCAATATTTATATTCATCATGTTATTCTTTGGTGTAATTTTTTTGGTGTTCTATCTGATAAGTTTGTTGAGCATTTTCCATCAGCGTGACGAACATTTTATCCTTCATATTTTCCCTCGTAATGCTTAAGATGATATGTTTGTTTTTTGTTCGCATGTTTTTCATCTACTATCATTTGATTATTTTTCTAGCATCGGTTTTTATGACTATCTTGCATAGTGTTACTTAGTTTTTCATGCAAGTTATTTCCCTTCTAGTTTATCTTCAAGTATAACTTGTTTTGTTTGAGTTGTTTCCGCCGTGTCGTGTTGAGAGACTTAAGTGTTCCGAAGAAAATTTAAATCTTCCATTCACCCACTCCAGTCGATTTACTTTGATCCTACATGTCATCCATCCCTTGGGAATTGAACGAGAATTCTTATCCAATACTTCTTCAGATAGATCCTCCTAACATATGACAAATCGGTTTATGAAGAACAACATGTGCAAACCTGGCACCTTCAAATCACCGGTATCAAATAAAGATATATGAACCTCCTCAACCAAGTATGGTGATAATAAGGTGTCATACATAACGCGGCCCCACGCCATTTCGAGATGAAACAATTTGATCTGGATCAATCACTTCAGAACATAATGGGTTAGTCAAAAGAGAAGAATTTACAAGTGGAGTTTCCAGTTGTTCCATACCTTCATGCCAAACATCGGAATCATCAAGAAGGTGCTTAATTTGGTTTCTTTCCTCCTGGAGTTGTTGCCCTTTTGGGAAAAAGAGGTGTTCCGATAACCATGCCGACCAATTTTCTATCCCATGGTGTAACCAATATATCCATCTCGACCCATCAAGTTTTCAATGAGAATATGGAATTATATCTCAGTCGTGCTCTCGTTCAATCGTAGTTGCCCCCTAGTGCACCTTATGAAGCTCCTTTTCAGTTTTGCCAATATGTCGGCTTGGACTTATGAGAATCTCATGGTCACATGTACAGAGTTGAGTGCAAACAACCAAGGGTTGAGCCCAACCAACTTCACCTGATTCCATGTTGTAATGAGGATCTCAGAGACTGTTTCCATCTGTAACCAACATGCCTCGAACTAGTGCCCACCAGTGGATCTCAAGAACTAAATCTCGTCATTGTATTATTTTTCTAACATAAGTGGGTTGCGACCAAAGTGTATATGACGCTCATTTGTTATTATCGTTAAAGGATACTTCGTTATCCAAGCTGCATTGTCAATGGCTCGGTCCAATCCCTCTCAGATTTCTCCCCTCCTCCAAGTGAAATTCGCTCCCAGTTCTTCTTTGTCCCAGGGAGATATCATGCACCTAAAAATCCTACAGAAAGTGAAACAATGGAAAACAACCTAAAATGGTAACAATTAGTAGCATAATCCAAAGAATGTCAAGGTTAAACTCAAGGAAAATATCGGTGTTAAATACCCTCATCAATACCATGTTCTTCGGTGGCGGACTCCTAGTACCAGTGCTCCACAAGCAACAAAAGACAAAAAACCCGGGAGCTTCTCCACTTGCACCTGATAGTATTTCTTCTTCTGACTCTTGGTGATCAACACAAATCTATTCAACTTCTTATTGACATCAAGAATCATCGTTAGACAGACAAACTCACCAACACAAATCTGTCGAAAGTTGAACTTGAGCCTCCAGAACCTGCCAATGATTCGGTAGACACCATTAACTATGCCGAGTTCAAGAAGTTGCCTGGTACCTTCAAGACCCTAGCCCAAACGACCCTCTTATCAAGAAGCACTAACCTCACATTACTAAATCCATCATACTCATTCATAGGCGTGTTCCAATCACCTAGACACCCAAATTGCACGGTGACGAGATCACCACCGATCTTTCACCGGTGCACCCTTGTTCCGGAATTCTAGGATGATCTCATGTCGGACAATAGCTGGGCTAAATCCCTTTGGAAGTGTGCAACTTGGTATAGCCGGGTAGTATTGGTGCAGCCGGAGAGAAAGAGGGTAGTGCTAGCGGATGGGTATTGCTTTCCATGAACGAGATACATCTTGGCCAAAAATAAACTCATCATGTGTGAGGGAGGGTGTGTGTGTTATATCATAAAAATGTTTTTTTTAAGCAGAAGAACTTATTTTAGGAGAAAAAGCAGAAGACTTTTTTTTAGGAGAAAAAGCACAAGAACTTGTTGCGATACTTGTATACAGTCGGGTCTGGCCCAAAACACCGATGGACCGGACCGGGGGAAGGGAAGCTGGACCCAAGTCACCCAACCAACCCACCACATGGCCCAAACAAAACCACCCAAACTGACTGACCTACCGCGGCCTCCCTCACCCTTTGCTCCCCCTTCCTCCTCGCGCCGCCGCCCCAAACCCCCTCTAAAACCCTCGCCGCCGGCGCATCCTCCCGCCCCGCTCCAGACCAGAGAAGCCCTAGACGTCCGCCGCGGCCGGGGGAGGGATGGGGATCTTCGAGCCGTTCCGCGCGATCGGGTACGTCACCACCGGCGGCGTGCCCTTCTCCCTGCAGCGCCTCGGCACCGAGACCTTCGTCACCGTCAGCGTCGGCAAGGCCTTCCACGTCTACAACGTAAGCAAACCCGCCGCCGCCACCAACCCGCCCTCTCGTCTCCCTCGCCCCGCCCACCGTACTGGACTAGTGTCATAGCCAGGGAGCTCGCAGGAGCCTGCTGCTCGCTTCTCCGTCAGTATTTAGGGTTGGTATACTAGAGGCAGCGATGTTATTAGCTTCCGTTTGGGGCTCATGCGGATTTCAGCGCTGAATTCCTGCTGGTTGCTCGCCACACCGGGCTTAATGTGACTTGCGCCTACGGTCGAGCTTTGTCTTCATATAAACCTGTCTTACTGCACCTGTCTGTCTTCTGTTGTTTCCGACGGCTTTACATATAGGAGTAACTCTGATGCAGCCGACTTCCATTTTGTGGTATGATTAATCACGCCGTTTTCTCCTTTTGTTTTGCAGTGTGCCAAGCTCACTTTGGTCCTTGCCGGTGAGCCTGCTATTCAGTATCTCGGTTTCTTATGTTCAGTGTTTTTTTTTCCTCTCCCGCTCATGGTGCGTGAACTTTCTTTGCCATTTAAGGACCTCAACTGCCCAAGAAGATCCGCGCTCTGGCATCCTTCAAGGAATACACATTTGCTGCATACGGAAGCGACATCGCGGTTTTCAAACGGACCGATCTGGTAAGGGAATTGCTGTGTTTAGGATAGCTGAATTAGTGTATCAACCCTAAGTGTGTGGTGCCTGGTGAATGAAATGATTATTGGCTACTTATTCCAGACTTCCAAAATTGCGTTCCTGACCAGAAAATGCCGTTGTCTCAGATGTACTTGTAGATCTCATGTGAAACCAGATGTTGATTGTGGAATAATAGGTGCACTTGTAATGTTCTGCGAAACAACATGTTTGATTGTGTGGTTATACAAACAAAGATAAATTGTGGGCACTTTTAGTTTCTATATTAGCTCCTCTTCCTTGTTTTTACAGCACACGAATGTACATTTTTTGCAAGTGGACACATCAATCGTACCACGATCTACATATATAACTTTTTCATGCTTCTGCAAATTTGCAAATTCTTGTTTGAAAAAGAAACCCTCGGACCAAATGCACCCAGGAGCAAAGTATCTGCTCTTTATCCAGACCCCACTATATCATGTCCATCAACTACTATTGAAGTATTGAGGCCTTCATGTTTACGTTTTCTCTTCAAAAATCAGGTGGTTACCTTTACTAAACATGAAGAAAAGGTCAACATGCTGTACCTGTTTGGAGAATACATTCTCAGTGCAGATATTAAAGGTGATTTATTTATCTGGGCCTTCAGAGGAGCTAAACCAAGCAGTGAGCCTGTTGGAAACATATCACTGGGAGACAAGTTTACTCCAACCTGCATTATGCATCCGGATACTTACCTAAATAAGGTGCCTGCAATTATTGATTTCTTTGGAGATAGTTTGCTTTCTGAATTTTGTGTTTGTTGACAAGTCTGTTTATCATTGATACATCAGGTCATTATTGGTAGTGAAGAAGGACCCTTGCAGCTGTGGAATATCAGCACAAAGAAAAAAGTATATGATTTTAAGGGTTGGGATTCATCAGTACGTTGTTGTGTTTCTTCACCTGCTCTGGATATGGTTGCAGTCGGTTGCGCCGATGGATCTATTCATGTTCACAATATACGATATGATGAAGAGTTGATGTCTTTCAACCATGAAATTCGGGGTGATGTAACTGCCCTGTCATTTCGAACAGGTGATTTTGTCTGACACGATATACAGTACAACCTTCTATAATTCACGTTTGCTCATCCTGTGACAGTAATGAAATTCCCAAACAAATCCTGGTTTATTCAAGTCCTCAAGTTTGGTTTGTGATTATGATTATATCGTATTTACGATGCAAATTCGTTAATTCGGAGATCCAGTTCAGAAAATGTAGCTGACACATTCTTTTTGGCTTTATGAATTTTCTTTATATGAGTTTTTGGAGATTTGACTTGTCAATGAAACCTTTACTGATTTGCGTACTAGTTCAAACTAAATAACGATGATATTTGGTATGCTTGAATAAAATTCTAGAGCCTGTGTAGTTTATTGTGGAAATACGGATACAGAGCTAAATTTTATGACCAGTCAGTAGATACATTACTGCCACCAAGGTGTTTTTCATGGTTATATATAGCTTTGACTCTCCCTGTTTGAAACAAGGAGGTGCATTGTTTTATTTTAATAATACACATTTTCACGCTTCTACATGTCAAGCTTAAGTGCTATTTTCTCAAATTTACTTTGTCTGCCAGATGGGCAACCCCTTCTAGCATCTGGAGGTTCCTCGGGTGTTATTAGCATTTGGAATCTTGAGAAGAGAAGGCTGCACTCTGTGATTAGGGAGGCCCATGATGGTTCTATTGTATCACTTCATTTCTTTGCCAATGAACCTATTTTGATGAGCTCAGCAGCTGATAATTCAATAAAAGTAAGTGCTGTTTTCTTGTCTTCTTTTTTCACATTATTGGTAATTTGGTAGTGAGGGACAAAACCTTTGTATCTTATTAGCTCTTGAGCTGTGACATATGAAGGTCAAAAGCTGCTGCATGTTGCCTGACCGCTTAGCCTGTTACATAGAACACCATCTCCCTTTTTTCTATTTATACCACATTGCCTTATTTGGCGGGAGCATATAAGGTTCCTCCTAGAATCGAGCTTTGCGGCCGGTTAATAAGTAACAAAATCAGCCAAGAAAAACAAAATCAATACTGGTGTGAGAATACTTTGCTTTGACAATGAGATTAAATTAGCCACAACACCTTAATTTCGGTTTTACATTTGAAACTTAGTAATCTAATATACTGCATGCCAGATGTGGATATTTGATAATAATGAAGGAGATGCTCGTCTGTTACGATTTCGAAGTGGACATAGCGCTCCACCTCGGTGCATAAGGTAACTAATGCCCTCCAAGTTTGTTGCGTCTGTACTTTTGTTTCGGTTGTGTTTTAGTGAGTCAGCCTATTTTGTTGTTAGATTCTATGGCAATGGAAAATTCATCTTATCCGCTGGTCAAGACCGTGCCTTCCGTCTTTTCTCAGTTGTTCAGGTAATTCATAACCTTTGTAACATTAATTTTTACAGCTGCACACTGGCACACCTGTTATCATTTCCTGCACTTTTTTGTCATCTCAAAGTGCTATTGAAGTAAGAGTGTCCACTTCACGCCGCACACTCGTCTTTACCCTGAATTCCTGCATGTTTGTCTTCTTCTCAGGTTGTTTTTTCCTTTTCGAGCAAAATGAGTTTATGTTTGCTGTTTTTTTAATCCTATTGAAGTAACACTTTTTTTGACAGGATCAACAAAGCAGAGAGCTTTCTCAGCGGCATGTGGCAAAAAGAGCGAAAAAGCTTAGAGTAAAGGTGAATTTTTTGTTACTATTCCTTTATCGCCTTCCGTTTCATCATTTCCTTGTTGAGATTTTGACATTTTCTTCTTCTCTGCAGGAGGAAGAGATAAAGCTAAAACCAGTTATTGCATTTGATTGTGGTAATTCTCCGGTCCTTGCAATATTAAAGTTCATATCATGTTCTTCTGCTTTTCTATCTGTGTAATTTCTTCTAAAGTAGTAAACCATGATAACCTTCAATCTTTACTATTTATACTTGGTGCAAAGGGCATACCTATTTCCATGTTAACACATAATAAACCACTTACCAGTATTCTGTGCACCTTTGCTAGTGTTGAAAAGAAACCAGAAACTGTTATCTTTTTTAGATAAAATTGCTTATTTACCAATGGAATCAACTGCTGTTCAGCTGAGATACGTGCACGTGATTGGTGTAATGTTGTTACATGCCACACGGATACTTCAAAGGCATATGTATGGCGTCTTCAGAACTTTGTTATAGGCGAACATATTCTTACACCATCGTCAGAGACTGAGTCACTGATTAAGGTAATGCTTGTTTTTGTAATCTGAATGTTTGACCGTATACTACAAGAATGTATTGAATTCTCACCGTGGGCTAATCAAAACAAGCTTTCTTGGGACTACCAAGACTCAGCTGTTAAATGATAGAAGTATCTCCCTACCTCTTCTTTAAGAAATTCCTTTTCTTTTTTGTCAGGCTTGTACTATAAGTGCATGTGGTAATTTTACTATCTTGGGCACTGAAGGTGGTTGGATCGAAAAATTTAACCTTCAATCTGGGATTAGTCGTGGTAGTTACATTGATGGCTCTCTGTCATTGCAATGTGCACATGAAGGTGAAGTTGTTGGATTAGCCTGTGATGCAACAAATGGATCTCTGATTAGTGCTGGATACCGTGGGGATATTAAGGTTTGATGACGCTGTTGCACTTCAGCTGCAATTTATTTAAACTGTGATTGCATTACTCAGATATTGACTTGTCTCCTGCAGGTCTGGGATTTTAAGAGTTGCAAGCTAAAATCCAAATTCAATGTTGGTAAATCTGTAACTAAGATTGCATATCACCGGGCAAATGGTAATATTCAACATGTTTTGTTATTCCCTTGTAGGATGACATGGATGATTAACAGTTTTTTTGTTGCTGTTTTATGGCAGGTCTTCTTGCTACTGTAGCAGATGATATGGTGCTTGTATTGTTTGATACAGTATCAATGAAAATGGTCCGTAGATTTGAAGGACATACAGATCGTATCACTGATCTGTGTTTCAGTGAGGATGGGAAATGGCTCATTTCGTCTAGTATGGATGGGACGCTCAGAATATGGGATATCAGTTTAGCAAGACAGATAGATGCGATGCGCGTTGATGTATCTATAACATCCGTCTCTATGTCTCCTAATATGGATGTGCTGGCAACCACCCATGTTGATCAAAATGGCGTGTATCTTTGGTAGGCTTTCATTGTTTCCTGTTCTCACCCTGTGCATTTGCATACCTTTGGTAGCTTCATATTTCAGGAAAATATCATAAGCTGAGTTTCCAAGCTGGTGTAGTTTGTGCTAATCATGGCACATCTCATTTAGGCAAATAAATACCACTTTCAGTCCACATTGTACCAATGTACATAATGAACTCAAATTCCATACCGTCGCATGCAACCAACCAACCACCCCCACAATCTAATAAAACGCATGCAAGCAACCAACTACCCCCACAATCTAAAAAAGATGAGTTGACTGGACAATGCTTTTTTTTATTGAAATGTTCATTTCCACTCTGTTGATAAAACTATGATAGAGCTTAAGACTATTGACAATATAAGTAGTTTTATAGTTTAAGTTATGAGTTGCTGCTGACTGGTTGCCACATGGAACAGCTTCTGAAAAACGTAAACTTTTCCGACATGTTCATTGTGGCCCTTATGTTGTTCATGCACAGAGGACAGTTTCTCAGGATACCTCATAAGGTCAATTTAAGGATACACATTTACAGTTTTGCTTTCCATGAAGTTGAATGTTCCTAAAAGCAAAGAGTTGAATGCAAGCAGAGGCAACTCAAGATATTTCTACTTCATAATCTTCTGCCATTATGGATAACAAACATACGTAATTTATTGTTGTTCTGCAATTTATTATTTAGCTCATATATAAAGCTCATACTTCTCTTAATAATTTTGACAGGGTTAATCAAGCTTTGTTCTCACCTTCGACAAATGTTGATAGCTATGCAAGTGGTAAACATGTCCGGAACGTGCTTTTGCCAACTGTTTCGTCAGCCGAAAGATCTGAGGAGGAAGAACCCATTAAAAAATCACAAGATTCAAATCAATCTAATATTAAACCTTTTGTCATAATGGATCATCAAATACCAGATATGATCACACTCTCATTACTCCCAAGGAGTCAATGGCAAAGCTTGACAAATCTTGACATTATAAAGGTAATGTATTTTGTCTCCGTTTTGATCCTGAAAATTTCCGCTGCAAAGTAACGAATCCTGTTACCTTGCAATAACTATGCAAGTTCCTTGAGTTAGAGAATTAGGCGGTGTATATAGTAGCATGTGTAGAAGAACTACTTTAACTGTGGCTGACAATATTTTGATGAACATTTCAAGCATGAAGTTTCTATTAAAAAATGCTTGGTAATATTGTAAATTTATAAGTTTGACAAATATAATACTACAGTAGGAAGTGCTGATCATTGCTATCACTTGATGGCTGTAAATGTCCTAATGGACACTTATTTGTGTCTGAAGGAAGAACTTATTTAAGTAATATTTTTGTTTTGTGCGTAAGCCCGACTAGACTTGGAAGTGCTCATCGTCACATTTCTGTGTCTTTAGGTTCGAAACAAACCGATCGAGCCACCTAAGAAACCTGAGCAGGCGCCATTTTTCTTGCCCTCAGTTCCATCCCTTTCAGGGGAGATATTGTTTGAGCCTCCTTCCAGTAAAGAAACAGACGGCAGCACTACTGAGGACATAGGTCATAAAAAGATGGCCGATCTCTCCTCCCACTTCAGTCGGTTGTTACAATCCTGTGGAGAACTTGAGAGCTGTAAGTATTTATTAGTATCTTCAGTCAAGCAAAACGCGTAAATAAACATCAGATATTTTGGTTCTCACTGTCTATTGATGAGACTATATGAAGAAGCTGCAATCTTCGTCATAGTAAGCACTGACCTTGGAATCTGTTTTGCAGATTCAGCGTTCACCGACTACCTAAAAGGCCTATCTCCGTCATCCTTAGATATGGAACTACGGATGCTACAGATAATAGATGACGACGAGGTGGAAGAGTCTGAGGAACCAAGACCCGAGCTCCATTCCATTTCATTGCTGCTGGACTACTTCATTCATGAGCTTTCCTGCAGGAACAACTTCGAGTTTGTTCAAGCTGTTCTGAAATTGTTTCTGAAGGTATGTGATAGTATTTTCCATCTTAAACCCATTGAGTTGGTGCTTAAAGTATATTTCATCTTCCTTGGAACCAGATACATGGTGAAACAATACGGCGCCACTCGACGCTACAGGAGAAAGTGAGGAAACTTCTAGACGTCCAGAGCAAGGTCTGGCAGAAGATCGACAAAATGTTTCAAAGCTCGCGATGCATGGTCACATTCCTCAGCAACTCGCAGTTTTAGTTGCAGGTAATTTCTTTTCATCCGTTTGCCAAATGAACTAGTGTTATACTAGACTTAGTTGGAGCTAGAAAATATTTTGTACCTCAATTCGCTAACATTGTCATCACCTAGTTGAGATTTTTCGATACACTATATTGCTGTAGAAAATGACTTGTTTTCCTGCAGCTTCTTCTGAACTCTTACAAATGACTAAAAATCCTATTTCCTTGTGGTCCACAGGTCCCGATTTCTGAAATCAATGCATACTTGGGAGTCCATGTGGCTGTTGTACCATTCTGCTGTACCTCACCGTCTTGTCGTCGTGGTAAAAGCTGCAAGGCATATATACGGTGTTGTTAACAGAGATGACCACAGATTGTGCTCCTGATGATGATGTAACAGTTTTGTTCCTGTATTCTTTTGTAACATACAGATGTATCAGCACTGTTCAGCGAGAAATATTTGGGAATGTCGCAAGTGCCAGTTAGGCGAAACATCCCCAAGTGTTTATCCAGCATTTTACTTTAGTGATAGCCCTCCGTGTTCATCTTCGGTGTTTTGACTTCTAAAATCCCTTAGGTCCACTTTCGCGTGCGCTATCGAAGAACTTATCACCCTTTTGTTTATAATAAGATTTATTTCGAGATTGAGAAGTCCTGAAAAACAAATGGATTCCAAGCCTAGGATTAAGGTCCCAACTACTACCGCTTGTAGAATGATGACTATTGGATGCTGGAAAATGATATCTACAAGTACATGAAAAAATGCTGCAAGAATATAGATAGTCATGAAAAAATGCTGCAAGAATAGCCTAGTGTCCACACTTGAAGCTATGTTATCTGGTAGTTTGATGAGTTATGTGCTATATTATCTGGCTGGAGGGTGTTCCAGGATAGTCTTCATCTTGCAGTTGTTCTTTTTTCTGCTTTTCCTTTTGAACATTGGTTGTAAGCTGGAGGAACTGTTTGTGTGCTGTACCTGACTATGCAGGCATCTTTCTTGCAATGGAGCCGGGTAGCCATCCCTGTTATTCTAAAAAGAAAGATAGAATACCCAGAGTTGAAATGACAAGCTCCAGCAGATGAGAATGAGAAAGATTGCATTCTCTGAACTCAACATTCATCATATCATGGACATAGATGTATTTTCAGGGCCACAAAATTAACAAGGTAAGGAGTAGAATTTATGAGTGCAGCTCTCATCATATCATAGGCAGACAATTAACCTCGGTACAAAACCCGGGTTGATTAGCTGCCTCAATCAGAAAGTAGACACATGATAGACATGCATACATATCTAACAAGAACAAGTAGCAAAAAGTACATCAAAGAATCTGGTGCAAAGGTTCTCAAATTAGAAAACTTTAATTCTAGTCCCCACTTGGAGAAATGATGTGTAAATAGGTGAAGCACATAAACATATGTATCAGAGTAAACTCTTTCTCAAATCTGCCTGTATAACTGTTTCAGCGAGAATATAGATAGCCATGAAAAGATACTGCAAGAATATCCAGAGTCAGACGAGAATGACAAAGATACATTCTCCGAACAACATTCATCACATAATGCACAGAGATAGGTTTTCTGAATGCAAAATTCATTAACAAGGTAGATTTTCTGAATGCAGCTTTCATCATACCATAGGCACACAACAACCTCAGTAGAAAAAACCAGGGTTGGTTCGCTGCCTCGATCAGAAAGTAGACCCAGGATACACATGTATATGTATATATCTAAGAATAAGCAGAAGAACAAAAAATACATCAAAGAATCTGGTCCAAAAGTACAAGAATGCCCACCAACAACATATCAGCCAGCACCCATGAAACAACTCTTTAGCCTGTAGGTGAACAAAATGTGTAGTATGAGCTTTGCTCAGCAGCTCAGCTGGAACTGGTGTACCTGCTAACTAGTGTATTCTGGCAGTGGTAATTCAGCCTGTGTATAATAAGCCCTACAAATATAGCTCTTCTTGATGATCCATCACTCACTCAGACTTGCTCCTCAGGCTGTACACGTTTCCGACAACCCCGACGACGCTGACGACGATGGCCAGCCCCAGCATTCCGACCGACAGGAGCCTCTCTCCGCGGCCCAGGCACTCCCCTTCCTTGTCCAGCCTCAGCGCCACGAGGGCCGGGAACATGAAACCCAATGCCAGCCCCGTCGTCGCGCCGGTGAACTTGAAGGCCATCCAGATGTTGGGTATCATGGTCGAGCCGAGGTAGATGAGGGCCAGCAGCACCACCGTCAGGGAGAGCATCCTCTTCCTGCTGTGGGGCGCGAGCTCACCGAAGACCAGCGAGTCCACCGTCTGCCTCAGTGAGAAGTGGACCACCGGGAAGACGAGGACCAGGTGGACGATGTACCCGATCCTCACAATGTAGTTGAGCACCGTGCTGAACTTGATCCCAAGGTCCTTGTCGAAGTTGGTGAGGACATCGGACTCGGTGTCGTCGCCGAACAGGAGGTACCCGGAGATGGCGGTCAGGGAGTACACGACTACGCAGAGCACGGTGGAGATCCGGCTGATATTGTACATGTTCTGAGGCGTCTTCTCCTTGAGCTCGTTGTAGATGGGCTGCACATTGAAATGGCAGATGTAGGCGTTGGTCATGATGGGTATCACCACCAGCAGGTCCAGAATTGCCGCCTTCGAGCTGAAATCAGGCCCCATCCTCGGCGCGGCGAGCTTGCCCTCAACTAGCTTCACCGCCGCGATCATGCACGAGACGGCCACAAAAACAACGGCGAGCCCGACCGACGCGGCAGACGACAGGCTCAGCGAGTCAATCTTCTCGAGCGCGCACAGCGGGGCGAGGAACACCACAAGGACAAACAGGATGAGCAGCCTGCGGTTGTCCCACTCGCCCTGGCCGACGAGCTGGTCCATGACGCCCATGTGCTTGAGGGACCCGGACATGACGTCCCCGATGATGATGAGGTAGACGACGAGGATGCCGGCGTTGTTGACGACGATGCAGAGCTGCGCGACGACGCTGGCGGGGCGGCCGAGGGCCCGGTGCACGAGCTCCCCGTAGGAGAGCGCGCGGCAGCGCACCGCGAACCGGACGAGCAGCTCGATGGTGACCTCGGAGAGCACCCCCATGACGAGGATGGAGACGAGGCCGACGGCCACGCCGAGCACCTTCATGGTCGCCGGCAGCGCCATGATGCCCGCCCCGATGATGGAGGTCGCGAGGTTGAACACCGCGCCGGAGACGCCCGAGCCTTCAGGGGGACCCGCCGGGCCGTCGTCGCCGATGAGCGGTAGCTCGTCGTGCTCGCCGGGGGTGGCGGCATCGTCGTCCTCGACCTCGCCGAGGAACGAGTCCTGCTTGGTGAGCTTGGCGGAGGCACCAGATTTGGGCGGCGGAGGCGGCTGGGCGGACTGCAGCTCGATGGCCGTGGAGGTCAGCGGTAGCGCGGAGTAGTTGGAGTTCACCATGGTCCCCGGCGCGCCCGCCCGAGGCGGATCGACGGATTGGAAGGCGGCGGCAAAGAAATCCTTCCGTCCGCCGACGCCGAGATTAGGGGGAAAATGGAGATCCACGCCCAATCTAGCGCTCCTCCAGGAACACCGGACCGCGCACGATCGGAAGGAAGATCCCGACCCCCGCCGTCCCAGCCGGAGATGCCTCACGGGAAACAGGCCCGCATTGGCGAATGCCGCCCGCCGCCGCCGGGGCAAATCTCGGTTCTTCCCGGCGAGATTTGGCTGGGCGGGGGAAGAAGCGGGGCGGAGAAGACCCGCGTGCTCTTCCGGAGCAGGGATCGACGTCGACGAGGATCCTGGCGAGGTAGACGGATCGCTGGGGGTGGGTTGATGGATGGATTGGAGGGAAGAGATCTGAGCCCTCTTCTTCTTCCCTTTCTTCAGGGAAGGAAAGAGTTTGCCAGGCGTAAAGTTGGGCGCACCAACCACGTGCGGATTCGACCTCACTGGCAGGTGGGGGCAGTAGGCCCGTGTGCCGCTACTGTAGCACGCGGGTAGGAGGGAGACCGTAGACGTAGAGGCATTCTCTTCTCGGGAAGGCACGTGGGAAGCGCCGGCCGAGCACATCTCTCCCGATCCGATTGTCCGCCGGTCACCGACGGGTGGGGCCCGCGTGGTGGCTGCTGCCTCCTTCCCTGGCCTTCCTCACTATTTCCACCTTGTCAGGAAACTTTAGCACAAAACAAACTCCTCGAAATTTATTTCACGGTCTGATCTTTTTGGTAAACTCCACAAGACGAGACTTGGTCGGTCTCGAGAAAGGCATCGTCTTGGTTGCACCAACGACAACATACGTAGCACCCCTGAAGCTCAACCTGGGACAGTAACGAGCACCAAAGGATCACAACACATGACCTCCACTCCATGTCTTCATACACAATACCCCCAAGAAGAACAACGTCGAGAACACCCCATCCCCAGTTTGAAACCGAACCTAACCTTTCATCCGAAGACAACAACGAAACACCAATGCGAGGGACAGGGAGATGGCGACGCCTAAGGAGGGGAGCGACACCACTGGCCATGAGCACCGTCGCCATTGGCATCGACCGAAGACGACATCTTCCCCCTCCAAGGAGAGGAACAGCAGCCACCGGCGCCTACGCCCCCAAGAAGAAAAAGACACCCACGGACGGCATAGAACTTCCGCGTGAATTCAATGTTGTTCTTCATGTACGGTGGCATACTGTCGCATAGAGCACTTTAATTTGTTTATTGGCTGTAGGAAAAACAATTCCTGGGCTACCTATCAAGAGGACGTAAAGGGCTACGCGTACGTGCTAGTGGACGAGGTAGCGGAGGCGAAGTAGTCTACACGTACTGTACACATATGATCTTATCATGTTCGGTATGATCTGACCAGGAAATAAACTATGCTGATCAGTGTCACTGAACGATTTTTGGTTGACCAAGCGCAGCTCGAAGCTTCCAAGTTCCCTTCCGAAACAACTGAAAATAATAAATAGTGTAACGATGCAAAAAACGTCCTATATTATGGTCAGGAGGGGTATTGTACCCTTCATAACTAAACGCTCTTGTATTTTTTACAGAGGGAGTATTAATCATTTCGCTTTGTTTGGCTAAGTTGAGCGAAGGTTGCAACCCACCATGGCCTTTCTTCATCACTGCTATGTAACATGGGTGCAGCTTTTCGAGATTTACTCCACTACTATATTATCTTTCTTTTTTAAGAAATCTCGCTCACTTTTATTGATTGATAACAATGTTCATGGGTACAAGGTGCAGGTCATGAGGGTTTCCTAACCATACATGTCTATCCAAACCGAACTTACAAGCAAACTTGACGAGATTATGGGCCTCAAAATTAAAATTCCTACGCTCGTGAATAAAAGAGCAAGACAAATAAGAAGATCTATGTGCCGCGATCTCTTGAATGATAGCCGCATTAGGACCTCCCGTCCCCTCGTTGATGTCTTTTACTACTACTATATTATCTAAGCTCTGAACCACATGCTATGTTCTTGGGCTTTGCATCCAAAGGTGAAGCTGTCAAGAGAATGGTCAGAGACCACCGTTGCTCACAAGATGATTCTTCACTTCAGGGGA